CCAGGAGCATGCAGGTCCAGGGACACAGCCCGCCACCTGAGGTGTGCCTGTGGAGAAGAGATCTTCAGAGTGTCCTGTCTCTTTAATCTTCCATTCCTTGTTGTGGAATAAATGCTGATATATATATATATATATATATATATATATATATACATACACACACACACACACACACACACACATATATATATATATATGAGTTCTTTTGGGGCCAGTGGGAGAAAAATTTAGAGAAATATTTAGGTTTTTTTTTCTGTTTTTCTCTGTTTAATTTCCAAAATGCAAAGAGTCAGAAGAAAGCTTTCAGGTCTCCTTACATCAGAGATTGGCTGGGCAGACATTTGCTACAGTGGGAGTGAATTAAATTGTGGTACTGTGGGTATAACACGGCACACCCAGAAGAGAAGAAAGAGTAGAAGATCATTGGAAAAGTACGAAAGATGGAAAAACCAAAGTTTTTAGTAGGAAAATATTTAAATTAAAATATTTAAATATAGTTAAATATAAGGAATATATCTTTCATATTAATTGATCGACTGTCTCCATTTGTAACATTTCGTTTTACTCTGACACTGCAAATTATGTGAGTGAGTCTATAAAACAGCTAATAGGCAATGTTTGTTATTTCTGCAAGCTGGCCATATTTTCACCAATGTGCCAAATTAAAATAGAAATTACCATTTTCACTTGCAGAAAGAGTGAAAGTAAGCCATTACACCTGCTTTGCCAGCCACACTGGAGCACACTTAGCCCAGGTAAGAAGGCAAGCTTACATAGAGCTTCTAATATCTGGCGGTGTCTGATTTGAAAGGTTTTTGTTTCATTTTGTTTTTACTTTGTGTAAATGCTTTTTGGCTTTTCATATGTGTTTTTTACTTTATATATATATATATATAATAGTTCAATATTTATTCATGCAGTGACTAACATAACCAAATTATATGAAGAGTTAAGGAAATGCTCCACGTGAAAATCTTTTTTCCATATCTGGGCTTTTTTCTGAATATATCAGACAGAGAATTTTTTTACTCCAAGAATCTGCATAAGTATCTCAATATTTATCTTTTTTTTTTTGTAATTCTGTTGAAATCTTTATTTAAAAAAATCTTGCAATACAGCATTCCTTTGAATAAAAATTCCACTAATGGACCAGAATTACGTAGGAAATAGAATGAGTTAGGACTAGTATTATTCACTTATACTCAGTTTAATACCATATTATTAAATTTTCAGTTCCTATTATTAAGATGGCATTTACATCCTGTTCAACTGCCTGCATTTAAAAAAAAAAATCTGTTCCTTAAAATTGCGATGCCCAATTGCAGAATAAACTATAATGCTTAGAATCAATTGCTTCTATTACCCAACAAAAATACAAAGTGTAATGTACACGGTAAAGGTTGCAGGGAACAGCTGGGAAATACTGCTCTCTTGATAGAAGTTACCTTAATGTGAAATAATTCCCAAGCCAGAATATCAGCTTTTAAATGTTGCTTTTCTGTCCCCTGGGCAAGATTTTACAATTCTGTGTCTCACCAATAAAAATTACCTCAGTTGTTTATTTACAGTTATTACTGTCAGTTGCCAAACCAATAAAATATATTAACTCTTATTTATCACAAGAAATCTGTGTGGTTTTATAGACATATCTGGTAATTTTTCTATGCATTTTATAGGTCTGTAACCAATACTAAGTCTCTAAACATCTAAGACAGCTTTGCCCTAAGGCCACTGTGTCCCAGCTGCTACATTAAGCGTTAGTCACTACTTATTTTGTAAGATTTTTTAGTGTCATATGGTTTATGACTGCACATTGAGTTAGTATTCTATGCAGTCATGAGTGGGTGTCTACTAGGTGCCAGGAGCCATGTCAGGTTTGGCAGATAAAAACAAGATCTTAAGGGAGACTCTTGTTTCTTGACCTTGTAGACAGTGCAGCCTGTCAGATACTGAAACGTGAGAAAGGGGCATTGAGGACTGGCCTAAAGCTGCCTCCATTCAGAGTGAACTACAATCTGACCTGATGTATAAACAGCCCATAACCTACTCTTGTAACAAGTAGCAAAGTCTCCGGCAATCACAAGGTGCCAACTGTTCAAACCACGTGGAACTGGGACCGCTTGGCTGTTTCTGTACCTCCCTCTCGTCTTATGTATGTCACTTACTTTTCTCTGGTTGGAAGTGTAGCCTGACCATGAGGCGAGAGGGTATTCGGATTCTTTTTTAGTCTATACTGCTGCCCATTCCTAGATTCACAAATAAAGCCAATTAGCATCTACAAAGCTAGACTGGTTGCAGTCCTGACTTCAACAGGGTTCAGTTGCAAACTTTCACTTTAATGATCATTTTAAGTAAAACACTTTACCCAGGCATTCATTTTGGCCCATTGCCAAAACTGAAAGACAGTCATATTAGGATTTAAAGAACGCTGCGGGGAGTTTCACAATCCAGGTGACAGAATCAGGTCACATCTACAAGGGACCGGGGTGACAGGGTTACTGGCAGCCTAGCTTGTCTGGCGTGCACACATAATTACATGATTACATGGATACAAAGTCAAGGACACTCCTCTCCTCGGTGCTAGCTGGATGCGAGTAAGGCATTTATATTTAAATATAATTGGGCATTTTTATTCAAGACTCACTGAGCAAGTCAATGCTGAACCACTGCTCTTAGAGGAAATACAATCATCAGTCCTCAGTATTCACAGAGGACATGGTGGCAGCACCTGTCTCAGGTACCAAAATCTGTGAATGCTCAAGTCCTTTAATTACGTTGGTTGAGTATTTGCAAATAATGTATACAGTCTCCCTGCATACTTTAAATCGTCTTTAGATTACTTATAATACCAATACAATGTAAATGTTATGTAAAGAAAATAATGATCTAAAAAAGTCTACACATCTTCAGTTCAGATGTAACTTTTTGTTCAAATATTTTCTATCTATGGTTATTTCCATCCATGGTCATGGACCCCCATCAATATGGAGGGTTAATTGTATAGGCTTAGGTTCCTGTAAGCAACAGGAACCTCGTTTAATGTACGTTTCTCTTTCAAGATGTCTTCTTTAAGGTATTTCGCTGGTTCATTAGCACTGAGCTCCCAGTCAACAGCACTTAGCTTACACCTGAACGAAGCTTCTCCAACACACACACATTCTCTGTAAGGCACAGCACAGCCTCTCGCACTAACGAACAAAGCATGGGGCATTTCAAACAGAATCCCCAAAAAGGCACAAAAACGCAGGAGACATTCACTCAGCAGGCCACAAAAAGGACACATGTGTGTAGTATGAGAGCTGAGACAAGAAGGCACAGCAGAGGCCGGCGCTTTGGCGCAGCTGGTTAACGCCTTGGCCTGAAGCACCAGCATCCCATATGGGTGCTGGTTCGAGACCTGGCTGCTCCATTTCCCGTCCAGCTCTCTGCTATGGCCTGGGAAAGCAGGGGAAGATGGCCCAAGTGCTTGGGCCCCTGCACCCACATGGGAGACCTAGAGGAAGCTCCTGGCCCCTGGCTTTGGACTGGCGTAGCTCCAGCCATTGCGGCCAATTGGAGAGTAAAACATCGGATGGAAGACCTCTCTCTCTCTCTCTGCCTCTCTTTCTCTGTGTAACTCTGACTTTCAAATAAATAAATAAATCTTTAAAAAAAAAAAGAAGGCACAGCAGTTGTTCAGCCTCAGCTGGAACCATACACAGCAGACAACTCCAACCTTCTCTTCCACAACGCGCCTCTTGAGTCGCATGTCTAAAGTTCTAAACTGTTTTTCAGTCTTATCAGGATATGCAGACCTGAGTCCATATACATCCTGTTATTGGAGGTTTATCCCTATTTGCAGATGTGTGCTAATGTTCCAAAATCAATATGTTTTTCTATTTCTTATGGTGAATCACCATGTAGTTCAAAACATACTGAAAAACAAGTTCCAAAATCAAAATGGAATTAAGGAAACAAATGGACTGGGTTTGCCAGTTTGCGGTATGCTCTATACACACCTAGCACTTTCCAGTTGAACTAGAATCAGTTATGGAGCAAAACTGTGCCACACCTCTGAGAACAAATAAAGAGGAGTTAAAAGAGAGGAGAAATGACCACACAAACACAAGAAAAGGGCAAGCCATTTGGGAACAGAGGGGTTGGAGTTGTGGTGGAGAGGGTTAACCTGCTGCCCACAATGCCAGCATCCCATGTTGGAGCGCTGGTTCGAGTCCTGGCTGCTCCGCTTCTGATCCAGCTCCAGGCTGATGCACCTGGGAAACCAGCAGAAGATGGCCCGAGTACTTGCCATCCACATGGGAGATCCAAATGGCGCTCCAAGTTCCTAGCTTCAGCCTGGCCCCATCCTGGACATTGTGTCCATTTGGGGAGTGAATCAGTGATGGAAGATACTACCCCCTCCTCACTTCTCTCTCTCTCTCTCTCTCTCTCTCTCTCTCTCTCTCTCTTTCAGTATAACTCTGCCTTTCAGAGAGAGAGAGAGAGAGAGAGAGAGAAATGAATGAAGGGGTTAATGGATGAGAAAGAGACTGTCCATCAAGGATATGCAAATTATATTTCATGTCAAGTCAAATACTTGAAGAGCCCATGGTGAACAGCTCCTAGCAGTGGGAACATATTTGAAAGGTGTCTAGGTGGACTCTATAGTGGCTCACTAATGTACTGTCCCATGTGAGTATCCTACTAGGAAATATCAGATGAGACCTCAAATATGGGCTAGATAGATGTGAAATTACTGCCTTGAGAAATCGTATAATTTTCAACATAAACCTCTTTACCCAAGAGTTCACAATGCCAGCTGTCAAAACTAAATAGAAATGATAATAATGATGATAAAAACCAAATTGGTAAGAAAGAAATTTTTAAAAATATCCTTCTGTCAGCTCAAAGAAATTAAAAATTCTTTTTCTCTAGGTTTCACATTCATCTATTTTTTCAACTTCTTCCCATAAAGTGTCATAGCCCAATAAGTACTTCTACCGTAAAAATCACAAAAATAATTTCTACGCAGTTTTGTTTTCAATCTTGCATTTCTGAAATGAATCCAGAAATTAAACATCGACCACGTGTGTGTGGAGTTCAGATCCTGAACACACACCTTTCAGGGATTTCAGAAACTTCGGCTTTCTTAACCAGAGGCCGTGTGGGTTACCTTTCCCTCTCCTGTTCACCCCTTTCTCTGTAGCAGGAAAATGCATCGCGTAGCAGAGCATTTGCCCCAAACCAATTTTTCCAAGTTTCATGGTCATCATCTTCCCTATTCCTGGAACAGAGCAGTCTTGCACAGTTTGCCAGCAGTAATCCAGACGTGGCTTGCTAGTCACTTCCTAGTCAAGGCTGTCATGCTGACCAATACCTGGTTTCCCACCGCTCAGCCCTGCGGATGGATGTGTGAGTCGGATGCAAGAGAGAAGGGTTTGTGTGCAGCCTCAATTACCAACCCCCGGCTAGTCAGGAGAGACAAGAGTGATTGGGATGATGGTTTTTGTGGGGAGAAAAAATGGAAAATTAGGAAAGCAGGAACTAAATAGGAGACTGGCCACATGTGAAAACACGTCTCTCTCTGCAGGCACCAGGGTGGGGAGCAGCGGGGAGAGGCAGACGGGGCTCAGACGGCGGGGGCCAGCTTTGTCCTTCACCGGCCAGCATTGGCTCACTTCCTGGACCATTCAATCCATCTTCGTTTTCTTGGCAGTTGACGTTTGCCTGCAACAAGGCATTCCTAAAACGATGTGATCCAAGAATGTCTTTTATTTACATTATGATATTCAACACAGCCCTTAACTTAACTCATGTTTCTTAACTCGTGTAAGTAAAGACATATTAAACCGCTCATTTTAACATAAAGCAATATTCTATGCCCTGATCAAAGACCTAACTGTTGCCTTCCTTTTGCCTGGTCAATTTCAGTGTGAAGTACTACCTCCGGGAATTAGTAGTTTCATTTCTGAAAGAAAGAATAAGGAGAGAAGAGTAGGCAGTGAGCCCAGACTTCCAGAAGGACCTGGCTGTCATGTTTAGAATCATCATCCACAGATTCGGTGACCACTGATTCATCCAGCTGGGTTGCTTTCCTTAGTGTCGTTTTTGTCTCGATTTGGGGACTGCTGAGTGTCAAAGGGTGAATTTCTTCTGTAAAACATTAAATCAACTCTGCTTCAGAGCAGGGAAACTTTTCTGGCTCAAATTAGACGGACATATCCGTTTATGCATAATTACTGGAGATGTTGGCACTGAAAAAACCCGGTGAAATTATGAGCTTTTTCTTAAAGCTCCAAAGAGAAACACTGTAATATATTTGTTGCCCTCTCTCCTCATGACCTTCACATTCCATAGCCATCATCAGCAAAAATCAGAGACAATGTGTCCATCACATACTCATCCTACATCTGAAAGTGGCAGTCACCACTTTCTGACTGCACGCATGTCTGTGTGTGTGTGTGTGTGTGTGTGTGTGAGAGAGAGAGAGAGAGAGAGAGAGAGCGAGAGCACTTTGCTGCATCAGCTATGTCCATGACTTGACAGATTGCTGATCATGCCTCAGCCGTTCTTGTATGTAGGCATATACGTGTGTGTGCGTGTGTGTGTGATACATGTAAACAGACAAGACCTGGGCTTCAGGCGCCTGGTTTGCTTGTCCTGAAGGTTCACTGGCCACCAGCTGGATTGCACTGCTCGGTCTTTCCACTGAGTAAAGCTACTGGGAAAGCCATTCATACCAGCTCTGTGTTTGGAGACGGGAACAAGATACCATAATTCCAGCTCAGCAGAGCATGGCCAGAACAGATGTACATTACCCAGAGTGCAGGAAGGGCATCTGGCCAGGAGCAGCGCATGACGGAGACAGGGAGCTCTTTCTAATTGCCTGGGCACTTTGTGGGGCCTCCCTTCCCCTGAGGGGGCCTGCCAGCCTTACCCCAGCACAGCTAATTAAAGCAGCAGAGGCAGTGCTGTTCAGTTACTCGGCCCCTTACTCCTTTACTCACGTCGCATATATGAAGACCTACTCAGTGCCACACGGAGTGAGCTCTAGAGACACTGCAGTGTCTCACAGGCATGGTCCCTGGCTTCACGAAGCCACAGTTCAAGAGGGAAGAACGGCTGTCAAGCAGTTGATAAATGCGTACTGCAATAAGCAGAGAGCGCTAGGAGACCATTGCATCCCTGTGTAGCGCTGACCTTGTGCTAAATCCTCAGGCCCTCCTGGCACCTGAGATGCAAGATACGCTACGTTAAGTAGAACACTGGCCGTACTGGAGAAATCGTTAAGGAAGGCAGCAGGACAGAGGGCTGCTTGCAACTTCCAATCAAAGGCAGTGGGCGCTAAACTCTGGTCTTCTTCAGAATTCTGTCCTTCCACTGGCTGGATTCATAGCATCGCTTTACGTGCCTACAGTGTGTCAGAGATTCGAAGCACATGGTACGCTGAGTCAGTTACTGGATTTCTCCTTTTTACTTTTTGTCGAGGAGAGCAACGCGCTAACTAAGGTCCATTTCATCTTCGCAGCCATCCTGTAAAACAGACAAAGCCTGGAGCATGTTCTAAAGAGAGAAATGGATATTTTGAGGCTGGTGACTCGCTCAGGTCTATGCAGCTAGAGAGTTGGGGCCCGGGGTCTTCCCCTCTACCAATTCTCTACCTAAGTCATGTGTCAGATTGTATTAGACTGACTACATGCTTGCATAGCATGCCCTGGTTGTTTTTTGATTGTTTGTTTGTTTGTTTGTTTTGACAGCCAGAGTTAGAAAGTGAGAGAGAGAGAGAGACAGAGAGAAAGGTCTTCCTTCCGTTGGTTCACCTCCAAATGGCTGCTACGGCCAGCGCTGCGCTGATCTGAAGCCAGGAGCCTGGTGCTTATCCTGGTCTCCCATGGGGTGCAGGGCCCAAGCACTTGAGCCATCCTCCACTGCACTCCCTGGCCACAGCAGAGAGCTGGACTGGAAGAGGGGCAACCAGGACAGAACTGGCGCCCTAACCAGGACTAGAACCCAGAGTACCGGCGCCACAAACGGAGGATTAGCCTAGTGAGCCGCGGCACCAGCCTACAGTTCCTTGTTTTTAAATGAAGTTGTGCAAGAAAAGATGGAAGAACCAACAAATTAAAACATAGCACTTAAATATGAATTAATGTTTGACATCACTTGGGAGAGGGAGAGATAAACACTCTGTTTTCGCCAGGGACACATGCTGCATTTATTCTACGAATTTATAAGTGAATTTACACTCAACCCTTTTCCCCGTAACTCATGATGGCCTAGTGAGAGGTCAGCGGCTTCTGTCCTGCTACTGTGTTTACAGTCCTGTGGAGCACACACCTGGGCCGCCATACATCTTGCTGCCTGATGCTGTGGAAAGCTCAGTCCCAAACGCATGCACCAAGGCAGAAAGTTGGGTGAAGGTGTAATGCGAGTTTTTCAAAAATAAGGACCTGGTCAGAGCTGTAGGCCTTCAGGTGAGTGCAGCAAGATCCAGGAAAAGGAGTAAAATGGGCTTGGCCTCAGCTGACACCTTGCACCCAGTAGGCTCTATCTATGCGCAGAGCTCACTGTAAAAGACAGTGTTTGTCCTTGAGAACGCATAGCAGGAAAGACAAAAGTCTTACACATGCATATTGCATACGCAATGCTTCTTTAACAGACCCCATGCTCTATCCCAAGTAGTTCTCATTGCAGACAACTAGTGATAGGTCACTTGTCAAACAGTTTTACCAAGTTTAGCCTCAGAGAGTGGCTGGGAAAACTAGGAAAGACATGTTTCAGAGCCAGTGTTGTGGTGGGGCAGGCTAAGCGCCAGCCTGTGAAGTGGGCGTTCTATGTGGGTGCCCATTCGCATCCCAGCTGCTCTCTCGCTTTCTCTTTTACTCTCTCTCTCCCTCTCTCTCTGTAACTGTACCTTTCAAATAAATAAAAATAAATCTTAAAAAAGATATATTCATATGACTATTTATTTGTTTTCTTTTATCATCATCATCAGTATCATCAACTTATTATAGTAAATCAGACCATTTATGTGATGATACTTTTACCACTGATCATTTAAAATATTTTATATGACTTTTCATATGGCTTGTTGATATGAACCCTTACAAGTTGGCAAAGATTTAGGGCCGTTTCAGTGGTTGACTGGATTGACTGTGCTTACAGAACTCCATTAAGATTGGGGGTGCCTTTTCAATCGCTTGTAGGGCCATTGTTGTCCACCTTTCAGTACCTCTACATATCCAATAACCTCATTCAATGATATTTTCTCCAAATCTCTTGCCATCTAGTAGGTACTCAATGTATATTACAAGAAGGAATAAATCTTACTGAAGTGTCTCATGTTCCTATGGTTGTGAAGAAAAATAGTCAAGGAACCAGCACACTCACCAGTGTTAAGAATTGTGTTCATTTAAAAGAGGCCCCGGGGTGGGCACTTGGGGCAGAGATTAAGAGACGACTTGGGATGCCTGCATGCTACATCAGAAGCCTTGGGTTTGAGTCCCGACTGCTCCAATTCCAGGTTCCTGCTAACGTGCGCCTCAGGAGGCAGCAGACGATGACTCAAGTACTCAGGTCCCTGCCACTCATGTGTGAGGCCCAGACTGAGTTCCTGGCTCCTGACTGGCCAGGCCCATGCCCAGCTTTGCAGACATTTGAGGAGTGAAGTAGCAGATGGAAGAACTTTCCCTCTCTCTCTGTCTCCCCCCACTTCTGTGTGTGTGTGTGTGTGTGTGTGGCTTCTTTTCAAATAAAATAAGTAAATGAGATACTTCTCATGAGGGCATTGTATAAAATCTATAGGAAGAGTTGCAATAGTGAATACTAAAACTAACCCTGGAAACAATGGGCTAGAGGTCAAGTCTGAGAAACACTACCTATGCTGACCTCTGATAAACAGCACAGGTTCTGAATGTCTTAGAGCAGCAAACTTGTTTAATCACCTGCTATGACTTGGATTAGTTTGGGCACCCCCACAAAGGCCCATGTGTTAAAAGCTTGGGTCTTATGGTAGTGACACTAAGGCTGGGAACTTAATCAAGTTATGGTGTCCAGAGGTTGGGAAGTCATTCGATGGGCTGGATTGTTAAAGTGATGCCTCCATAACCAAAGCATGAGACGCTACACGGGAGGTACAGAACGTGACGCCCTCTGCTGCCTCAGGACTCTGCCAGCAAGGACACCATCACCACAGGCCCAGCCGACGGGATCACTGGGTCTTAGACTCTGAGCCTCCAAAACTTGAGCCAAAACGAATCTTCCTTCATAAGTAGCATTTCGCTCTAGTGAGAAAGAAGCCAACACAGTCCTTGAAGATGGATTTTTTTTCCTGTCTTTTTGCAGAGAGCCATTCTAATTGAGGTCAGCTAATATCTCACTGTGGTGGTTTTTTTTTTTGACAGGCAGAGTGGACAGTGAGAGAGAGAGACAGAGAGAAAGGTCTTCCTTTACTGTTGGTTCACCCTCCGATGGCCGCTGCGGCCGGCGCACCGCGCTGATCCGATGACAGGAGCCAGGTGCTTCCTCCTGGTCTCCCATGGGGTGCAGGGCCCAAGCACTTGGGCCATCTTCCACTGCACTCCCGGGCCACAGCAGAGAGCTGGCCTGGAAGAGGGGCAACCGGGACAGAATCTGGCGCCCTGACCAGGACTAGAACCCGGTGTGCCGGCGCCGCTAGGTGGAGGATTAGCCTGTTGAGCCGCGGCACCAGCCGGTGTTTTGTTTTTTATGTTATTTATGAAAGGCAGAATGACAGAAAGGGGAAGAGGGGGAGACAGGGTTATTCTATCCCCAGGTTCACTCCCCAAATGACCACAACAGCCAATGCTAGGACAGGCTGACGCCAGGAACTCCATTCATGTTTCCTACGTGGGTGACAGTAAGTACTTGAGCCATCACCTGCTACTTCCCAGGCACTAGGGAGCTGGAGCAGAAGTGCACTAGCCGGTGCTTGAACCAGCACTCCCACATGCGATGCAGGGTGTCCCAAGTAGCAGCTTAGCCCACTGCACCACAACACGGCCCCATGACTGGGGTTTTACACTTCCTTGAGGATTAGGGATGTTGAGAATTTTTTTTATATACCTGTCGGTTATGCGTAGGTCTTATTTTCAGAAATGTCAGTTAGGATATTTTGCCTATTTTAAAATCAAATTATTTGCTAACAAATTCTTGCATGCATGTGGAGAAATGTGAGCCCTTTATACACTGTTAAGGGAATGTAAATTAGTGCAACCAATATGGAAAACAGCATGGAGGTTCTTCCACAAACTAAAAATAGGACAACTTTTCCATCCAGCAATCCCACTCCTGGATATTTACCCGAGGAAAATGAAATCAGCGTGTTGAAGCGATAACTGTGCTCAGATGCACCGCAGCACCTCTCACGAAAACCAAGACAGGGAACCAAACGAAGGGTCCACCAACAGATGAGTGGGTAACGAAAACGTGGCGTGCAGACACGATGAAATACTATTCCACCATAAAGGACAACACAGATGAACCTGGAGCACTGCACGTCAAGTGAAATAAACCAAGGCACCGAAATACAAACAACACGAGCTCACTCACCTGCGGAATCTAGAACTGCTGATCTCATAAAGCACAGAAGACAGAGTGGTGGTTCCAGAAGCCGAGAGGGCAGAGGGGAGGGGAGAGAAGAGCCTGGTCAATGGGTACAAAACTAAAGTTACACAGGAGGGATGACGTCCGGCGCTGCACTGCACATCCGCACGCCTATAGTGAACTGTTCATGTATTTCAAAATTACTAGGAGAGAGGACTCTGAACATCCAAGCCACAAAGAAGCAGTTTGCAGTAATGGGTATGCTAAATATCCTGATTTGATCATTACACGATGCATAACATATAGCGAAACCTTGCACTGTTGTCCCCCATGAGCACAGGCAATTATTGCGCATCCATCAAGAATAAAAAGGCCAAGCTTTGGAGCCAGATAAACTTACATGCAAAAAAAAAAAAAATAGAATTGAATCTTCCCTCCTTCCCTCCTCCCTGCCTCTCCAGTCCTCTCCCTGCCTCTCTTTCTGTTTCGGAGCCCCCCGAAGAGTAGGTGAGGAACACTCTTTATTGGGGTAATTCTAAGTCTAACAAACACGGCTTGACAAGTGAAGAAAGGGGATGCTACGGAGCAGCTACGCCTTCCTCGCACCCCTTAAAATGCCCACGCGGGAATCTGCTGTCCTTGGTGTGAACAAGACAACCTCGCCTCATACTTAGTGCACGTGAAATGCTTAGCACGGGGCCACACAGAGCCAGGGCTTGCTGAGTATCTGTGCACTATTGTCATCACATTCCTCTCATTGTTAATTACTGAGGTCAGCCCCAGGCCATCCTGGGGTGACCCTTCTTTGCAACTGTCAACTGCTGCATGCATTCAGAACAGTCTTCTGGGTGGGGAGTAGTTTTGAATCAACAACTGAACTGGCCGCCCCTGGGGCATGCTATTTTTAACACTTTTGAAAATGACCTCTCTTGCTATTACGCGGGTGGGTGGGCAGCTGTTTGCAATTAGAGCCATATATGTGGTCCGCAGGTATGCCAGGTCTGGGGAGGTTGGCTTTCCCCGCGATGTTTTCAAGTCACTCGCTGCCACAGTGCGCTCGGCAGCCAAACCACACCAAATGGAAATGTACTAAAAGCGATGGGCAGAGCGAAGCGCGCCCTGCAAAACAGAGAAGTGACTCACGCTTGTAAAAGATCATTGCCATGGTAATTCTTTACACACACTGCCCGTCTTGGGGAGGGCTGTCAAGGCATTGCCATGAACCCTTTACTGGCCCGTTGTTGAGAATGTTGGCTCTTTTTTTTTTTTTTTACCATGGCTCTTTTCTCGGTGCGGTCAGCAGACAAGCTGGTGCTGAAAAGAAAGGCCTTCTCAGTCCTGCAGGAAGAAAACCTCCTTCCTTGATTGCCACAAACCACGCTCAGCTGCACGAGGGCAGCCATCAGACACTGTGTGTGCAGAGATTGTTTTGGGTTTTCTTTTGCTTTGCTTTAAAATCATGAGTGTTTGAAACCAAGAAAATAGTTATATAAGAGATTTCTGGCAAGTATGCCCTTTTTTTCATCATGGCAAAAGCTGTCAAGTCTTAGAATGTGGAAAGAGTGGCTTGGAGAAGTCCTTATTGGCAGCCTCCCGTCCTGAAGCCCGGTGCCCTCACCTCACTGCTCCCTACACCCTTGAGTGCCCGACGTACCCATCCAGCTGCGGTGTGTGTGGTGTGTACGTGTGCTAGATCTGTGTGGTTTATGTGTTTGGGTGCAAGCGGCATGGTATGTAACTGTGTTGGGTGTGCACGAGGGGCGCGTTGCGGGGGTGTACGCACGGATGTGGCATGTTGGGTGTGTGTATGCTGGATAAATGGAGAGAGGGTTTTAATGAGGAACGAAGGCTTCCCATCACAAACAGGAAGTATTTCTACCCCAAATAAAAAATGGGACCTCATGTTTACCTCCTGTGCTCTGACACTGCCCGAGCCAAATCTTCGTACTCCTCCCCTACTCACTGCCCCCCCCCCCCCACTGTGATGGCAGAACCTGGAATACTAACACCTGCCAATCGACTGAAAGTTGCCAACTGACTTTTCTGTATTTTCCAGAGTCTTCAAAAAGTTCATGGAAAATGCGCGTTATGAAAAATTTTTTTCAAAATATTTTTGCCCCCTAAATACACGGATCTATTGATTCCCCTTTTCTGCAAAAATATTTTTAAATATTTAATTTTTTTCATTTGAAAGGCAGAGTGACAGAAGGAAAGAGAGAGAGAGAGAGACTCTTTCATCCGCTGGTTCACTCACAACTCTAATGGCTGCAACAGCCAGGACTGGTCCAGATTCAAGCCAGGAGTCTGGAACTCCATCTGGGTCTCTCATGTGGATGGCAAGGGCCCAAGCACACAGGCCATCTTCTGCTGCTTTCCCAGGTGCATTAGCACAGAACTGTAGCAGAAGCGGAGCGGGTGAGACTTGAACCAGCTCTCCAATATTGGATGCTGTCGTCACAAGCAGCGGCTTCACTGGCCTGTGCCACGACACTGCCCGCTCCAGAAAGTACACCCTTATCTTATGCTTCACTATCCCAAATATGAAAACTGTCCACCTTCTTTTTGTTTAACGACCTCTTACTAACTTGCCACGTTCATTGCCCGGGAACAAAGGAGGAAGAAGTGTAGAAGAAAGGGAAGCGGGGAAGAGAGACCTATCAGATAACACAGTGGTTCTCTATGAAGACCGAGAACCGGGAGAGGGCGAAGGCGGCGCGTGTCTGCGGCATGGCCTGCACGCGCACCGCCCGGAAACCCAGAACAATTGCCTGAGTGTCTCTGAGGATAAATGAATTAATGGCTCCAGAACTGTCATCGCCCCCTCACTCACACGTTCTCACCTGTGACAGGCTGGCTGGCCCAGGTTCGCAGGTTCAAAGCCGGCTTTGTATACCCACTCCCTGGTGAAATGCGCTCAGTTTTCCCCACTTGCACATTTTTACATAATTGTTGCATGTTCTTGTGCTTAATGAGAATAACATGACCCTCATGGAAGGAAGCCCCAGGTGTTCTGGAACAGTGGTCTCTCAGATGAGCGCTGTGACGGGGAGACGCAAACACGGGGCACAATGCACTAACACACACCCAAATGCACAGCCTCCCCTCCGTCCACTCCGCCTGGGCAGAGCCACATCTGATTCTGCCGATTGCCAGTGGACTGGCATCAGTGACGGCGGCAAGAAACTGAGGGCTTGTGCCATGATGCTGGGTGGCTCATAAATTCCTGTATGAAATAAACTTCCAACCTCTGTTTCCATCTGCCTAGGGATTTAGAGCATATTCAATAGAGTCATTCACAGAATGCTAAAAGGCAAACCCCACAAGCCCAAACGTGTGAAGTGACTTGTCGAGGCGGGGGGGAGGGGGAGTTCAGCATGTTGTGAGGAACCAGAAATCATGCCCTTAGCACCCAGCCTCCAGGGCACCCATCAAGAATGGGAGGGCAGGGGCTGGTGTTGTGGCAACAGGTTAAGCCACCCCCGTGCCACCGGCATCCCGTGTGAGCACCTGTTCTAGTCCCAGCTGCTTCACTTTCTATCCAGCTCCACACCAATCCCCCTAGGAAAGCGGAAGAAGATGACCCAAGTGCTTGGGCCCCGCACTTTCGAGGGAGACCCACAGGAAGTTACTGGCTCCTGGCTTCTGCCCGGCCCAGCCTCAGCCATTGCAGCCGTTGCAGCCATCTGGGGAATGAACCACTGGATGGACGATCTCTGTCTCTGTCTCTGTCTCTCTCCCTCAACCCTCTCCCCTTTCTGTAACTCTCTCAAATAAATAAGTAAATCTTTAATAATAATAAAAAACCACAAGGGCACACATGATGGAGAGGGAGCTGGCTCAGGGCTACTGGGGGATGGGAAGTCTCTAACAGGGACTCCCCTTAATGAGTCACTTTGAAGCAGACCAGTTAGTGGTGCCGCCTCTCCTGCCCAGCCCTTCCTTTTGCCCACTCGAGGGCAGAGAGAGTTTCTTGATTTGTCCAGAGTAAGGACACACACAACAGTTAAACAGGGTTTGCCCAAACAGATCTCGTTCCTAATGCGTTTCCCCTAAGATAACCAGTCTGCCCAGTAAGATACCCTCTCTCATTTGGGGGCATGTGCACCTCATTGCCTGGATGAGGAGAAGGGAGAGAGTATCAGCAGGAACACTGCGACCTGAAATTAGGCATTTTGAAACTCCTGTGAAATATGCGCGTATGAGTCCGTCTCACCCATAAAAAGAAATATGAGAGCAAAGTTTCCTTCTTTGGGGGAAAGGAGAAACAGGCCAATATATTACAGACTCCGAGCGTAAGAGGGTTTGGCAAATACAGACCAGTCTGTCTGCTTTATTACTCTGGAGGTCGTGTAGGAGCGAGGTGGGTGGGAGAGTGTAACTTCTTCCTGTGCTCCCTCCACACGCGGTGTGGAACTCAGTGTCGGCGGAACCCTAGAAACCAGCGAGCCCAGAGATATTCTCCAGACACGGGGCTGCGCGCTCCAGGCCCAAGGAGAGAGAATGAAAAGGCAGCATCTGCAAACATCACTCAGACATCTGCAACCAGCAAAGCCACAGCTGTTCTCACCCCAGAAGTTCTCTACAAAGAAACCTGCACACATGCTCGGACTCTGCTGCAAGGTTCCTCCTGTGCTCTGAGTGTAACAGACAGCCTGAAGATCTCAGTCCAGTTCTGATGTCTCCCTGCCCCCAGTTGACCTCGGGGTTCCCTCTCTTGTGGGATCTCATGATTTTCGTCCCCTCGTCACAGAAACAAGAGAGGACTTCAAAACGTTGGTAGAAAAATGGAATTAAAAGATAGATTTATTTTGAGTTCAACAAAACTCCATCCAGGCCTCCCATGTGGGTGACAGGGACTCAAGGACCTCTATCACGTGCTGCCTCCCAGGGCGCACATAAGCCAGAGCTGGACCAGAAGCAGAGGAGTCAGGACTTGAACCGAGCACTCCAAAACAGGACACGGGCAGCCCAAGCGGCCAGTTAAGCCACTGTGCCAACGCCCACTCCTGAAACACCTCTTTTCTGGAGTCTCCTTTCTCAGCTTTTCTCCCCTGAGATTGTTTCCAGCAGACATACAAGAATGTGGAAGATCAAGCAGACTGACGGTCACTTAAACAGGCCAGAACCCAACTTCAGATACCCACTTGAACACCCTTGAACCCAAGTCTTGAGAAAAATGAA